CTCATAAATTTGTGTTAAATCACAAAAATGATCTTACCACTCGGGAGCCGGTCTAAAAGCACTTAAAATAACTTCTAAATAGTGAGGACTGACTACCATCTAACACCAGCGTGCACAAATAAGACTGGTTAAAATATGAATTTTCTTAAAAACTTGAGAAATGTCTACAGTTCAAATATATGTATCTGTCACAGTAGAACATGGGCTCTGCTTCTACAGACGTGAAAAAGCCGGTTTGTGTATTTTTCGCGACTGTCGTTCAACTACCTAGTGTTTAGCATATGTCTCTAAATGTTTTTTTACCATAATTCCTATCTTTATATTTTTCGAGATGGAGGTTGACTAAGAAGTCCGTTTGTCTTCACGAATAGGACCGTTACGGGGATCTAAAAACATCCTATCAAATAGCATTCGGATAAAACAATCCGTGACGAAGAATCTGTAGTGAAATTTAAAATGGCATTTTATGCATACTATTTACTATATCTCAAACGACTGTCTCTTCCTCAAAATTACGCTGTGGTTTTCAGGGATTGTGGCGTCCGTTGAGTTTCAGGGTGCTCTTAAATTGTCAGTTTATACTCCACATTGCTAAGTGTTCTAAACCAGTTTTCAAGAAAAATAGGCTCTTTAGTTTCGATGTCTATCAAAACCTTTCAAGTCAGACAGTACTTGAGCACTTTCGCCTACTGTTTGGTCTATGAGGAGTTATATTTTGTTGTGTAGATGGTGGTTTTGATGGTGTAGGAGGACTGAAAAAAAGCTAAAACCTAGTTTTCACAGAAAATATACTTCATACTGACTGCCTTGCAGTGCGCATGCTTGTGAGTGGTAAGAAAATCTCTCTACTAAGTTACCTCTTCAAAGGTTTTTTTTACAGGGACATTTCGCTTACGTATGTCGCGTACGCACTCCTTTTTTTACGGTTGACCTTCATATCTAGTTCCCCATTTTCGCATTTCCCCACAGATTCTAAGAATTGCCCAACCGCAGCCGGAAAAAAAAACTACAGCAGGTTTGATATCTCGGGAAATATTAGGCGAAATTCTGCAATACTTATTAGGAGGGTTTGGCAGATGTGAATAATTCAATTGACCTAATTATGAAAAGTTCATGGCCTCGGTGGGGTTCGAACCCACACAGCGGGGAAGGCTTTTGTGCAGCTAACAATCTACCAAGAAGGCACGCCGAAGCTCTGAAGTAACTCGCACTCGGGTCGATTTACCCGCCCAACTTACTGCACGGCGTGCCTTCGTGGCTCAGTGGTAGGACGTTGGCTGTACAAAAGCCTTCCCTGCTCTGTGGGTTCGAACCCCACCGAGGCCACGAACTTTTCATAATTAGGTCAATTGAATTATTCACATCTGCCAAACCCCTCCTAATAATTAAGTGAGCCTAGTAGTCACTGTGGTGGATACTAGATGATTGCTCAGAAAATCCTGCCTGGGCAGTCAGCTTGCTGTATCCGTAATGGTGGATTCCACGCGTGCAGTAGGCTGGACGGGTAAATCGACCCAAGTGTGATTCAATTAATTCCTTTCCGTGTATCTTCGTAGCTCAATGGTAGCGCGTTGGCTGTACAAAAGCTGATGTGGGTCCGAACCCCACCGAGACCTTGAAAATTTTCACAATAGGGTCAATTGAATCTTAAATAGTTGTTGATTCCAAGAAATTACCTAAGTGAATTTTAAACTTATCCCACGGCCTTGTGTGCCGAGATATTTTAGTCACGTCAGGATTTAGGTTACAGCCTCATTCCAGCCACCCGTCCAAACTAAATTCTGTCAGAATTGAATTATTCAGTAGTGTGATTTTCCCCTACTGCATTTTCCATGCCAACCGTGCACGAGAGCTACTCTTTCTTGTACTCACAGTGAGTAGACAATTACGTCCATATTCAAATTCTAAACTTAAGTAAGTGGCATCATTCGATTTTGAAATACTTTTTAATCAATGAGTTTTTAAGACTATTAAATGTGTATTTGCTAAACTTTCTTTTAAAGTGCCCAGCGCTGTCTGCAGTGATTGCAAAGTCTCGATAGAAACGAATACGCGAGTTCCACAAAGCAGTTCAGAAGAAGTAGAAAATGCGATCGCTGGAACAAGAATTTTATTTGTCTGACGTTTCGCATTCTGTCGATAATCCTTAATCATAGGTAACCGTAGAATAGGGCGACACATGCACAGCTCAAAGTGATATATGCACAGATCGCGCATTATTTATGGCTCGTCATGGCCACGCGACCGCAGGCGCACTTTACTAATCACCTCAGGCAAATAAACTTCTTGTTCCAGAGATCGCATCTTCTACTTCTGAATTGCAAAATATTATGAATACTATGCCCCTTCTTCCTCATCGCAGTGTGGGGGAATGCGTGATTTTCCTTAGGCAGAATGTATACAGTATTTAGTATCAAGTATAAAGTTTGTAGAGGCCGTAATTTCAGTTTTTTAATGTCCACAGAAATTACTATCTGTTCGTGATATGCATTACTCTATTATAGTAGTATTCTGGCAAAGACAGGCACCCTAGTATAACTATTTCTGGCTTTTTGGCCGTCGTCAGCTATGGGTAGCCAACTCCAGTGTAGCCGCTGAAATTGCGGCCATACTCGAGTTTCAAACTCGCGTCTCGCCGGTCAAGGACAAACGTCCTAACCACTGACTACGAGTTCGCTGCCTTGCCGGTCGTTGAGGTCTACAGGCATAAACCGAAATTGTAAATGTACATTTGGGCTGAAACCCGTCAAAAACTGCGCAATATACGCATGCTGCCAACAGACATACTGCAGTAGTATATATTGATGTTGTAACTTACCATAGTAACAGCTCAGGTACATCTGTATAGTACGCAGGGGTTGAAGGGTTTCAGCCCACATATACACTTACGATTTTGGTCTATGCTTCTAGACCTTAGATATACTGAGGATGTAATTGCCCACCGAATGCGTACAAAAAAGAATATTTTAGTGCACGTTTTTACTATAAAAGGTCATCGGAAAGCAGTGGGAGAGAATCATACTTTTCAAGTGGTTAGGGTTTATAGAGTGTAATTTTTGCAGACGGCCTCAAAGAAGCTGGTTCGAATGCCGGTATCCTTACAGGACTGTGAAATATCCTGGGATTATGCCACACAGCTTAAGAAATCTTTTTGAAACGCAAACACATTTCAGAATTTCGGTGCACGTTGCAGGGAACAGCAAATTTACTGTATCTCAACCAACTTGTAGAGATAGCACAGTTCGACCGTCAACCATTTCGACAATTTCCAACACCTTTGGCCGCAGCAGGCTGAAGTCAAATGCGGCGACTTTCGAAGCATCTTTCTCACTCTCTCTCTCCACTTCCCACACCTGGACTCCCTATAAAGACAAAGCCAAGAAGACGTGAGGAAGGAGAGGACGCGGATAAAAAAATAAGCCCGAAATGGCCAATCTCATCTCCTTTGTTTTTGCTCGGTGGAGAAACAGCTGCATGTATGCCTTCTCCTTGTAGACGGTGACTCAATGGAACGTCAAACCGCGCATTGACAATGCTGTCTAGCATTTAGCCCTGCCTCCAGTGGAAAATTGTGGCTAGGCAAGACCTCCCTTGTTAGTTCCTGCTGCCGTTTTGTTGTTTTTAAGAGCTCGAAATGCCTGCACTATAAGTTGGTCAGTGGCAGCATAAATATTTACTGTGACATGCATGTACAACTAACAAAGTGTGTTTTTGCGCACTTACGGTTGCGAAGATTGCCGATTTATGATGCCCTGATGGTGGTAGTGGTGGTGATAATTCGTGCGCACATATATACGCATATATCGGCCCCTCGCTATTCCTCCCTGTGCACACACACACACTGGTTATCTCTAGATGTTATGTCCACAAGACGTGAATTATGTCTGTCAGTATTCAGTGGTTTATTCAAACTCACTCCCGTTTGGGTAGGCATGCGTGAC